GGATATGACGCTGCAACCATGTCTCAGTGAAACACATAACACTGCATTCCCGATACTCTGGATGGGTCCTTGTTAGGGCTTGAAGTCCATCCAACTTGTTTCCCAGCGATCTCACATTGCCCATCATGATTGATGGAAGAGATGGTTTAAACTGCATTCTTCTCTCTTTCTCCCTCTTCTTTGCTCCTGGTCTGCATCCACGATGCCTCCTTTTCAACTCATTTGGGATTTGAGGCTGTAGTTATATTATTTGAGATTTGGAGATGTTAATCAGCTGCTCCCGGTTGTAAAAAACCTTGTTGATATGGTTACGCATCATAACAAATGTCCAAAAGCAAAGATATTTCTGTAAAAATCCTTCCAGCTGCACAGCATCCGACACCAGAGGAAATAATCATCCAAAAAAAAAAGCAATTTATATCCAGAAAGAAGAGGAATTAAAGTTATCAAAAGTAATATCTCAGAATGAAAGTAACAGAGCTACTCCAACATGCAGCACCTTGAGCGGCGCAATTCTAGAATTCTAGAATTCGCCTTCCTTGGATGGCATTAATCTGGCCTCCAGTTCTAATGTTAAAAATCTTGGTGTTATTTTTGATCAGGACATGTCTTTTATCCCCCACATTAAAAACGTTACTAGAACTGCCTTCTTCCACCTGCGTAATATCACTAAAATTAGAAACATCTTATCTAAAAATGATGCAGAAAAACTGGTTCATGCATTTGTCACGTCTAGACTGGTCTATTGCAATGGTTTATTATCTGGGTGTCCAAATACTTCTTTAAAATCAAACAAACATACAAACAAACATACATACATACATACAGGGGCAGCAGCTTTAGCAGGGAAGCCCAGACATCTCTTTCAACAGCCACCTCTTCCAGCTCTTCTGGGAGGATTCCAAGGCGTTCCCAAGCCAACAGAGAGACATAGTCTCTCCAGCGTGTCCTGGGTCTTCCCTGAGGTCTCCTCCCAGTCGGACATGCCCGAAGCACCTCCCTAGGGAGGCGTCCAGGAAGCATCCTTACCAGATGCCCGAACCACCTCAACTGGCTCCTCTCGATGTGGAGGAGCAGCGTTTCTACTCCGAGTCTCTCCCAGATAACCAAACTTCTCACCCTATCTCTAAGGGAGAGTCCAGCTACCCTGCGGAAGAAACACATTTCAACCGCCTGTATCCGCAATCTCATTCTTTCGGTCACCACCCAGAGCTCATGACCTAGTAGGAAAGTAGACCGACCGGTAAACAGAGAGTTTTGTCTTCCAGCTCAGCTCTCCCTTCACCACAACGGACTGGTACAGAGGCTGCAATACTGCAGACGCTGCAAAAATCCGTCTGTCAATCTCACGCTCCATTCTTCCCTCACTCGTGAACAACACCCCAAGATACTTGAACTCCTCCACTTGAGGCAGAACCTCACCCTCGATCTGGAAAGAGCAATCCACCCTTTTTCGGTTGAGGACCATGGAGGACCATGTCAGATTTGGAGGTGCTGATTTTCCTCCCAGCCGCTTCACACTTGGCTGCGAACCACTCCATTGAGAGCTGAAGATCACAGCATGATGACGCCAACAGGACCACATCATCTTCAAAGAGCAGAAATGGAATCCTGAGGCCACCGAACCGGAAACCCTCCACCCACTGGATGCATCGAGAAATTCTGTCCATAAAGTTATGAACAGAATCAGTGACAACGGGCAGCCCTGGCGGAGTCCAACTCCCACCCTGAAGGGGTCCGACTTACTGCCAGCAATGCGAACCAAGCTCTCGCACCGCTTGTCCAGGGACTGAACAGCCCGTAATAACGGTCCCCCAATCCCATACTCACGGAGCACCCCTCCCACAGTGTACCCCGAGGAACACGGTTGAAAGCCTTCTCTAAATCCACAAAACACATGTAGACAGGATGGGCAAACTTCCATGAACCCTCGAGGACCCTAGTGAGGGTAAAGAGCTGATCTAGTGTTCCACAGCTCGGACAGAACCCATATTGTTCCTCCTGAATCTGAGGATTGACCAACGATTGGACTAGCTTCTCCAGTACCCCTGAATAGAACTTACCAGGGAGACTGAGGAAAGTGATGCCCCTATAATTGGAGCACACCCTCTGGTCCCCCTTTTTGAAAAGGGGAATCATCACCCCAGTCTGCCAATCCAGTGGCACTGCCCCTGATGTCCACGCGATGTTACAAAGGAGTGTCAACCAAGACAGCCCCACAAGATCCAGAACCTTAAGGAAATCAGAGTGAATCTCATCTACTCCCGGAGCCCTGCTGCCTCGGAGCTTTTTAACTACCTCGGTGACCTCAGCCACAGTTATGGATGGATCAACCCCTAAGTCCCCCAACTCAGCTTCCTCCATGGAAGACGTGCTGGTGGGATTGAGAAGGTCCGAGAAGTATTCCTTCCACCTTCCGACAACATCACTGGTTGAGGTCAACAGCATCCCACCTTCACTGAATATAGTATTAGTAAAGTGCTGCTTTCCCCTCCTCAGCCATCTGATGGTTTGCCAGAATCTCCTCGGAGCCGACCGAGAGTTGTTATCCAAGGTCTCACTGAACTCCTCCCACATCCGAGCTTTTGCCTCAGCAACAGCCAAGGCTGCGGACCACTTGGCCTTCTGGTACTCCTCAGCTTCCTCCGGAGTCTCACTGGCCAACAAGGCCCAATAGGACTCCTCCTTCAGCTTGACAGCCTCCCTAATCCGGGGTGGCCACCACCGAGGTCGTGGATGGCCAACGTGAGAAGCACCAACAACCTTACGGCCACAGCTCAAGGCAGCTACCTCAACAAGTAGGTGCGGAACGTGGCCCACTCGGACTCAATGTCCCCCACCTCAGCTGGGATGAGGTTAAAGCTCTCCTGGAGGTGTGAATTGAAGATCTCTCTGACGGCTTCTTCTGCCAGGCATTCCCAGCAAACCCTAACCACATGTTTGGGTCTACCGGGTCTGTCTGGCATCTTCCACCACCATCTGATCCAACTCACTACCAGGTGGTGATCAGTTGACAGCTCAGCTCCTCTCTTCACCTGAGTGTCAAAAACGAAGGGCCACAAATCAGATGACACGACTATGAAGTCTATCATTGATCTACAACCTAGGGCATCCTGGTGCCAAGTGCACTTTTGGACACCCTTATGTTCAAACATGGTGTTTGTGATGGACAAACTATGACTAGCACAGAAGTCCAACAACAGATTGGAAGTCCACATCAGCTCGACGCCTCTCACCATGGGCAACTCCAGAGTGGAAAAAGATCCAGCCCCTCTCTAAGGAGATTGGTTCCAGAGTCCATGCTGTGCGTTGAGGTGAGCTCAACTACTGTATATGTAGTCAGTACCGTTCAACGTCACGCACAAGCTTGCTCCTTCTAACTGCCAGGGTCAGAGCGTCAAGGTCCCTGCTTTCGGCCACTGCCCATGGCATCACGCACCCGACTTTTATGGCCCTTACTGAAGGTGGTGAGTCCACAGGAAGGCAAACCCATGCTGCTCCTTCGGGCTGAGCCCGACCAGGCCCCATGGATAGAGACCCGGTCACCAGGCGTTCGCCGACAAGCCCCTCCCCCAGGCCTGGCTCCAGGGTGGGTAACCCACATCTGGGCAAGGGACACTGTCTTCCTTGCTGTGTCATGTCCATAAAAATCTTTTGAATTGCTCTTTGTCTGGCCTGTCACCTAGAACCAATCTGCCTTGGGAGACCCTACCAGGGACAATTATAATTGCCCCCAACAGCATAGCTCCTAGGATCATTCAGACAAACAAACTCCTCCACCACGATAAGGTGGCGATTCAAGGAGGAACATCTTAAGTTAATCTAAAATGCTGCTGCCAGAGTCTTAACTGGAGTTAGTAGGAGAGATCACATCTCCAGTTTTAGCTTCTCTCCAATGGCTCCCTGTCAAATTCAGAATTTAATTCAAAACCTTACTTCTAACCTACGAAGCTCTCAACAACCTAGTTCTATCTTATATTGCAAATCTTATTGTTCCATATTTTCCTAACAGAGCACTTTGCTCTCAGACTGCAGGTTTACTTGTGGTTCCTAGTGTTTCCAAAAGCAGAATGGGAGGCAGATCTTTCAGTGATCAGGCTCCTCTCTTGTGGAACCAACGTCCAGTTTCTGTGTGTGAGGATGACACATTGTCCACTTTTAAGTTTGGGCTTTCATTTTTGATAAATCCCATAGTTAGGGTTGGCTTGGGTTTCCTGAGCTATCCCTTAGTTATGCTGGTATAGGCTTAGACTGCTGGAGGACAAACTGACCACATTTCTTCACTGTGTTACTGTCTTTACTTACTCTGCTCAACCTGTTTTGTATTTGTAATTATTTTTTTCAATCCTTGACATGTGTTTTTTTTTTCAGGTACACCTGGACCTATATCTGCACCTGTCATTCTGTTTGTTTGCCTCTCCGTTCTGTCCTCTCAACCAGCCGGTCAAAGCAGATGGCCACTTGTCCTGAGCCTGGTTCTGCTGGAGGTTTCTTTCTGTTAAAAGGGAGTTTTTCCTTTCCACTGTTGCCACTGTGCTTGCTCAGGATGGGAGACTGCGACAAGGTGAAGATTCAACGAGTCTGCTGGCTTCCTTACATAGAGAACTTTTTCTAACTGGCTTGTCTATGTATGTGAATGTTTCTGTAAAGTGCCCTGAGACAACTTTGTTGTGACTTGGCGCTATATAAACTGAATTGAATTAACCTCTATGCCATACAGCTGGACCAGATCAAGTGTGTGATGATGAGAATGAGTAGATGTGTGGATGTTTTGGGTAAAACCAATTGAATTATTAAATTATTAAAGGCTATGATTAAGCTATCACTTTCAACATCTACACGAATATTGAAATCCTCCATTATTATGACATTATCAGTATTCAATAATAAGTCAGATAAAAAATCTGATAATTCAGGCAAAAACTGAGAATAAGGGCGTTTTCTGGATCTTCCCTCCCCCCACTAAGATGACTGAAAATGATGACATTTAATGTCTCTACCTGTAGAGTTTCAGCTGTGTCAGCTTGACGTCCATCTTCTCCAGCACAGCTGGCAGAGAGAACCCTTCAGCTGACTGCAGAGAGAAGCTGTTTCCCACCGTGATCAGACCCAGATCAATCACCAAGGCATTATTGGAGGTGGAGGACTGAGGGATGATGATGAGTGGAGCCTTCATCCTGATGTCCATAGACAGACGGAAACTCTTCTGGGCAAAGTCTCGAACACTGGACGCTGCCTTCTCTGCTGCCTGAGCAGTGGCGGTGGTAAGAGCTTCTTTAGCCATCTGGAAGTTGTCGACAAACATCTGAAAAACAGCCAATCAGGAGTGAGATGTCAAACGCCACCAGCATTACGTAAAAAAGCTTTATTGAGACGCCTCAAAGGAGCCAACCAGAGGAAAGACGTGAGGTCTTCACTGCCTGCATGGTGCATACAGGTTTTGGTTCTGTTCCATAAACAAGAAGAATAATATGAACCATAAGTATCTAACTATCTCTGTGTTTGTATGTCAGCTTTATATTGATTTTAGACATCTAACAAATAAAAACTTTACACTCAATAAGAAGTAAAACTGACATTCGTTTGGGATGCTTTTTGAGCAGAGATACAAGTTGGCTTAAGGTTCATATTAGAAAACACATTTATGAAACAAGAATGAATTCAAAAACATTTTAGGGCAGAAAGTGAGGTCACACAGGCAGAGGTCGTGTGGCAGTGGGAGAATGAGTTTTGTGATGGCAGCTGAGTGAGTTGCATAGCACATATGAAGGAAGTGAGGTCTGGTTATTGTTGAATGTTGTGCATGAAAAGCATTCATTATCATACCGTCTGTCCTCATCCTGTCAGTATATCGTGTATCCACCAGTGTGGTTTGAGCTTCCCACAGTCACAGACAGGTGACGGTTTACTCACTCAAACTGAAACGGTCTAAGTCACACTTTAATGCTGCTTTTAGTAAAAACTCAACAGGATTAAAATGAATCTGCTGTCATTTTGTTGATCCAACAATGCAACAAAATTCATTCTCAAATGCAAATTTTGTCTAATTTTGACACATTTTAATTTATTTGCATTCTAAATAATATATCCCACCTCTTCAGAGTCTTTTCTAACAGTTTCTCACATCTCCAGGGACTCTTCCATCCAAGATTTTTTTAATACACGTTAGTCTCATTGAGCCTCCGGGACTCATTTACAAGAGAGACCCGTTTCCAACTGTTTCCCACCTCTTTAGAGTCTCTTCTAACTAGTTCCCACCTCTCCAGAGTCTCTTCTGTTTCCCACCTCTTCAGAGTCTCTTCCCACTGTTTCCCACCTCTACAGAGACTCTTTTAACTGTTTCCCACCTCTTCAGAGTCTCTTTCAACTGTTTCCCACCTCTACAGAGACTCTTTTAACTGTTTCCCACCTCTTCAGAGTCTCTTCCCACTGTTTCCCACCTTTCAGTCTCTTGTTTCCCACAACTTCAGAGTCTCTTCTAACGGTTTCCCACCTCTCCAGAAACTATTCTGTTTCCCACCTCTCCAGAGTTTCTTCCAGCTGTTTCCCACCTCTTCAGAGTCTCTTCCAAATGTTTCCCACCTATCCACAGACTATTCTGTTTCCCACAACTTTAGAGACTTTTCTGTTTCCCACCTCTCCAGAGACTCTTCAAACTGTTTCACACCTCTCCAGAGACTATTTAAACTGTTTACCACTTCTCCAGAGACTCTCCAAACTGTTTCCCACCTCTCCAGAGTTTCTTCCAGATGTTTCCCACCTCTCCAAAGTCTCTTCCAACTTTTTCCCACTTCTCCAAAGTCTCTTCCACTTGCTCTTCACCTTTTGAGGCACTCCTTCACATGCTCTCCATTTCTCCAGGCTCTCTCTCACCTGCTCTTTTCCTCACTACAGATCACATTATTGTCTTTAAATGTCCTGGCTGTCAAACCACCTCATCTGCCACCTCTGGATGTGGAGAAGCAGCGGCTACTCCAATTTTTTCCTGGATAACCATAGGTGTGGGTAGGAATATAGACCGAAGGGTACAGAGAAACTCCCTGTGTGACCAGAAGAGAGTCCACTACAACAAAACAAGTCCTGTTTTTTGCTCACTCTTGTGAACATGCATTAAAGTATGAATGTTTATTTGGTTTGTTATTCTCTTCTCCTTTTGAGGATCAATAAGATCAGATCATCTAGCTGGCTAACGTTAATCAAAGTCAAGGTACGTCAGTTCACAAAGGCTGTAACCTTGTGGAAGCATAAATCTGATGAGTTTTAGGGTGGACTGATGGTGCAGTGGTGTCGCTGAGTGAAGGTAAAGCACAAGGTTTGATGCAGTTCAGAGCTGCATGCTGGATGCTGTACCTCATCACCAGATGGACACTGAAAGCTAAAAGAAGCCTGCAAAAATAAAACATACCAATAGCACAAGAGACATTAGAGACAACAAACTGCAGGAAAAAAAAACATACTACAGTTAACAGAAAACAGACCTAAACATGTAACTACAGTCACAAATTCCTGATCATCCAAATTACAGTTTGGGTCTGCATCTAAAAAGCTATGGTCTGAAACAGACAGCAGCATGCGGTCCACACCAATACTGCAGTCTGTTTGTTTTCTGCAGGAAAACTTGGTCTGAGGCTAATGGCAGCAAGATCCTTCCAGACTGACAGAAAGCTGGAGGAGTTGATAAGTCTGTGCTGTTTCGGCTTTTAAACTGATGAATATAAACTCCTCAGATGTTCTACAGTCAGTTATTGTGTTTGCATAAGGATTGCAATCATCTAAACAAATAAACAGCAAACACATAACAAATAAATGCATTTACACCTTGTCCACACAGAAACACTTTAATCCATGATCATTTTTTGTGTTTCTATAAATATTCTTGTTAAAACTGCATATTTTGGGGGGCTGAGATGGTGTAGAGGTAGGGCAGCCGACTTGGGACAAGAAAGACGCGGTTTGACTCCCCGCCATGCCCACATGTTGTGGTGTCCTTAAGCAAGACACCTAATCTCTAACTGCTCTCCGGGAGCTTACATAGCTGCCCACTGCTCCACCTGGGTGTATCTCAGGTGTGTTGGATTAAATGCAGAGAATCAATTTAGTCATTGTATGGGAACATACGATGACAAGCTCAAACTTCCCTTCCCTTCCATATTTTCTATACATGTTTTCATCTACATGGAAACAGAAAATGACCCAGAAGGCTGTGAGAACTATGCCAGGCCAGTATGAGGCACTGTGAAGGCCCCTTTACAACAGAAGAGATGTGCTTTGCATGCCGCTCCAAAACTTATTGGTATGTACGTGATGCGCTGCACTGAGCTGAGAGGCATACAGAGCATAGTGTGAACTGTGTGTGCAACTTTATGCATGTGGCCAAATTAAAATTAGTTTAACTTTTTATTAATCAAAAATATTTAAGTTGGGTGCAGCATGCAAAGCTGTTGCTTTGTTGGCACCTCAGTGAATCAGCCACACAAACAGTGGACTATATCCACTGTATACTACAAAGTTCCTGCAGAAACTTTGATGGGGACTGCCATGTTGCGGCCATTTTTACATTTTGATTTGACAGTAATATGTGTTGGAGTTCACTCTCAGCTACCATCACACCAAATTTCAGCTCAATATAGCAAAAAAAAAAATAATCAGTGAGTTATAATAATTTTTTTCTTTTAAGTTATGGTGGCCATCTTGGATTTTTGATTTGGATTCAATATGTGAAGGAGAACGTTCTCAGCTATAACCTCACCAAATTTCAGCTAAGTATAAAATTAACTGAGTTAAATCTGTTTAAATTTTGCTTTGGTGGCCATCTTGAATTGTTTTAAATTCAGTATTTATGGGGCATTACTTTCAGCTACTAACACACCAAATTTCAGTTCACTATCTTTCAAAACAGCTGAGTTATAGTATTTTTTTCTCTTTTAGCTCAGGTGGCCATCTTTGATTTTTGATTTGGATTAGGAATGTATAACTTATTCTTAGCTACGACCATAACAAATTTCAGCTCAATATCTCACAGAATGACTGAGTTATAGCCAATTTTGTGTTTTCGAAGGTAGCTGTGGCAGACATCTTGATTCTAAATTCATTCAACCTTTATTTAGACAGGTTAATCCCATTGAGCCTCGAGGACTCATTTACAAGAGAGACCTGAGAGAAATGGCTCCAAAAATTAATCAGTTTCGCTCTAGGTCATGTGACCTCATTGTGTCACTTAGAGGCTATTAAGAGTTCTGTCAGGCTTTTTAATGACAAAAATGGCGTATTTGTTTGCAAATGATGTCGCCATAGTAACCTGAAATGTCAATAAAAGTAATAGCATATATCATGGTGCCAAGCCGGTCGTTTTGATATAACACTTGTGGTTTGGGCCGTATTAAAGTTGAAGGAAGAGCTGCCTTTCTAGGTAGTCCCCAACTATAGGTAGATATATTTTATTGTACTTAGAAGGTATTTGTGTGTGTGTCTGTGTCTATGCGCACATGTGTGTGTGTGTGTGTGTGTGTGTAGCTGCTGACCAGCAGAGACATGAGGAACTGGTGAATGTAGATGATCTGGATGCAGCCCAGACTCAACGTGACCTTCCCGTCCACCTTCGACATGTCACTATAGCCGTCACCCTCCGTCGCCCCTGGAAACAGGGACAGCTTGAAGCTGAACACCTCCTTACCCATGATGGACACCGCCTGAGGGAGGAGGAAGAGGAGGAGAGGTAAGGTTTTATGGATTTCATTAGGGATGGCATTACTAACTTGAATCTGATCCTGACACTGCTGCACTTCTGACTGAACAAGTTGAAAGCAGCCCATGAGATGATGACAGATGTGTCATCACATGCATACACATCTGTTTGGTTCCATCAAAACCAGTTAGGTATCAGTTCTACTGTCTCTGACCTGTTTGTGAATGGTTTTGGGGTTAGTATCCGTAACCACAATGTCTCGGAGTCGAGCGAACACCTCCGTCTCCTTCAGCTGCACCAGCACAGAGGCATCGATTCCTGCAGGAGGCCACAGCAGCAGGTTCACAGCTCAAAGGGATCTCTGGGTCTGCAGAGCTCACGTCCAAACCTGTTCCTACCTTGAACTCTAATGTCAGCGATGCTGCTCCGGTCGTCACACACCTCCACATGGAAGCAGCCCAACACAGCAAATAGCTTGAAGCTGAAGATGCTGCTGTCTTTACCTCCTTTAGACACTGCAGAAAGTCACAAACAAACTTCCTGTCAGAACTTCACACATGCACCTGCAGGCAGACGGAGGAGACTCACCTGCTCGGGTCTGGGCCGAACTCTCCACCTGCTTTCTGCCGTCTTGATCCCGGGCAGTGCGGAGCTGCGATGGCATGGCGTTGTTCAGGTAGCTGACAGCCGACAGCAGAGCTTTGGTGTGAAGGAGGAAGTCCAAAGAGGAGAACTCCACCTGAAAGAGCAGCAGATACCACCTGAGAAACACCTGAACGTGCTAACGATTGGTCTCAAAGGTACACCTTGTTTGTGGATTTTAGGTAAACCATACAGACTAGGTCCGGCCTCCCCTGGGTACAGTCTGTGGTACAGAATACGGTCAATAGCCTTGTCCTGCTCCAAATTTTTCAGGCAATCTATTAACTTCTTCTTGTAACCACTTCCTGGATCTCTTTTCAAAGGTTCATAAGTGGTTAAGTCACTAAGGAGTGTCATAACTTTCTCATGATAGTCTTTCTGGTTCAAAATCACTGTGCACCTTCCTTTGTCTGCTGGGAGAATGATGATGTTTTTGTCCTTGCTAAGAGTGGTGAGTGCATCACTCTCCTCCCTACTGATGTTGGAAAATGGTGGTTTGGCATTGCTGAGGCAGGATGAAACTTTGATTCTGAGCTGTTCTGCTTCACACTCTTTAATTTTGTTGTTGCTAGTATAGTTAAATATGCTAGTATAAGTAGCCAAATATGCTAGTATAAGTAGCTAAATATGCTAGTATAAGTAGCTAAATATGCTAGTATAAGTAGCTAAATATGCTAGTATAAGTAGCTAAATATGCTAGTATAAGTAGCTAAATATGTTAGTATAAGTAGCTAAATATGCTAGTATAAGTAGCTAAATATGCTAGTAAATGTAGCTAAATATGCTATATGTAGCTAAATATGTTAGTAGATGGAGCTAAATATGCTAGTATAAGTAGCTAAATATGCTAGTATAAAAAGTTAAATATGCTAGTAGATGTAGCTAAATATGCTAGTACATGTAGCTAAATATGCTAGTATAAGTAGCTAAGTATGCTAGTAGATGTAGCTAGATATGCTAGTAGATGTAGCTAAATATGCTCGTAGATGTAGCTCTTCAGGAGGATTAATCCGCACAAGGCAACCGGCTCAGACAACATCCCCGGGAAAGTGTTGAAAGAATGTGCCTATCAGCTCTGTGAGGTGCTGGCAGAATTCTTTAACACCTCACTTACCCTGGAGACAGTTTCCACCTGCCTGAAGACTGCCACCATCATCCCAGTCCCAAAAAGCTTTACAGTGACTGCTCTGAATGATTATCAGCCAGTGGCCCTCACCCCGATAGTCGCTAAATGCTTCAAAAAACTGGTCATGACTCACATCAAAACAACCATCAACATCAACGAG